ACATAAGTGAGAGGAAAATATAAAGAGATGGAGGAACAGCAGTCAGAAAAAGTGTATGACTAGAAAGAGACACAGCATGTTTATCTGTAAACAGCGATATTTTATTCCATAATTTTGTTTCATGGTTTAGATAAACATTTGTCAAATTGAAGCATTTAAACAAAACAGATGGTGGGAGAAAACAAGTTTTTAACATTTAATTACATCATTTTAACATCAACATGGCGATCCCTCTAAACCAGGGCTATTCAACTAAGTTTGCTCGCGGGCCAAAATGTTAAACATAGATATCGTCGCGGGCCAGTGGCCTGAGCCCACACTACAATTGACATTTTCAATCTGTAAATTTATTACACTAGAAATTTTTACACCTAGGACGTACCCTATATAAATGAAGCAGTGTTGTAAGCCGTTATAATGTACAGTAATGATTAATTATTACTCACTTTCAATTCTTCTTCTTCTTCGTATTCACTGGCTGTAAATTTAAACACTACCTATTGATACATTCCACACGACTGGTTTTTGAAGAATATATACAGAAACATTGATTGATTTAATATTTTTTTTCTCTTTAATAACTGATTTCCCTATTTTGGCAACGATCGGCGGGCCACTTGCTAGGCCTCAGCAGGCCAGATTTGGCCCGCAGGCCGCCAGTTGAATAGCCCTGCTCTAAACCATCCAATTTTCTCTTGTAACTTGCAGTGTTGAGCTGAAGTATCAACATCCACTGTTCAAAATCATCTTCACTGCATGTCAGCCAAACCTGTAAGTGCTCAGATTGTCTCCTAATCATGTTTATTAATTAGTGTGATTCCCCTTGTGGGTTCCGGGGCTCCATTGCAGGGAAAACAAGAACAGACCCACTTCCTCCCCAACAAGCATATCGTAGGAGACGACTTATTGAGGACATCCTTCGAAGTCAGAGTTCATCTGCCTGAGAAGCAAGGAACCACAGGTCTGCATACAGATAATCCAGATTTGTGAAACGGATGTGCATGCAACACTCAGGTTCTGGAGCAAAACCTAAGTCCAGAGGTGGATGAACACCCAGAAATTTCCGCCGGAGTTCACAGACAGTGAATGCAAAGAAGAAGAAGAATTGGTGTGATATGGTAAAAGGTTGTAAGGCCCTTAGCCTTGGTTGGCAGCTGGTCTAGAAGGAAAGCTCCAATTCGTGGACAGACATAGCAATGCTCTTTTTTATCTAGCAGCTTTTACAGCATTTTTAGTTCGAAACATATTGGTGCTACCTCTCCTCTGGAGTAAACAAGGCAGGCTGAGAGAGGGATCACGGGTATTAGTAATACATGGACTTTACAAAACTGTCCATGTCTTGACCTATGGAGAAGAGAAATTTCATTCCTGTGCCTCTTGTTGTTGGCACATTTTGTCTTTCCGGACTATAGTGTTACATCATGGTATTAGGAGGCATCGGACTCACAGTAAGTGTGACTAGCAACACCTGCCCGTGTTAACAAGAATCTTCCACAACTAGAGCATGGGATTTCAGGACCTTTATTACCATTATATTTAGTGTGCTTTTTCTCAGATGCTCATCCCCTCATCCTTTTTCCAATAATGTTCTCCTTCATTCTTATTCCATTCTAGATCTGCCCCCTCTATGCAACATGGTTATGCCTCCTTAAACACATCACCTGGAAAGACCCAAACAAAAACAAAAACAAAAGTTGCTAACAGAGAAGGTTTTAAAGTAATATTTGCAAGATCTGATCAGACAAAAATGAAAAACAAAATAGTTTAGATACAAACTGCCAGTAATAAATACTAGCTTTTACTTAGAAAAAAAAAAGCTTAAAAATCTTAGTCAATGGTTCTCGACAAAATTTCCACATTTTGTGTGTGCCTATTGTATACCCAGTCTGCCAAGCTTCAAACAGCCATTTGAGTACATCACATCTGTTAAAGAATTTTCCTTTTACGAAAATAAACGAAATAAAGAGTTTAGACAACTACGAGTTGACTATGAAGAACACAGTGCTACAAAATGAGAACAGAAGGTTTGCAAGCTCTTTTTACAACATATTTTTCATCTGAACGATGAAAATATTTAAATCACAAGAACTACTTATAAACCCTTCTATTCACAAACAACAGGTCTTCATGGCGAACTGGTTAGTTGTGTTGCTTGTACTCTGAAGTTGTGTTACTTGTACTCTAAAGTTGTGTTGCTCAATCTTAAGTTTTGTCACCTGTACTATTTTTTTCAATCTGAGGAGTAGCTGGCTGAGTGGTTAAATGCTGGGCTCTAATGCGGGGGACCCAGGTTAGAATCTGCTGTAAGGTAATGAAAGTTTTTTTTTGTTTAGGACGAAAATAAACATCCTATCCTGTACAGTTCATAGTAGTTGCTCTAGCCAAGACAGTCTTAAATCCTCAGACTCAAGGACACTCATTAACCATTATCATTAACCTGAAAGAAATTACCACTATTCTAAGTATCATTAACCTGTAGGAACTAACCATTATTCTAAGTATCATTAACCAACTGCAGCACCATGTGGGTTCCGGGACTTTATTTGGAGAACAAAGAATAGACCCACTGCCCGTAAGTATGAGTGTGTTCTTCAAAGTCAGAGTGCATCTGCCAGAGAGGCAAGGAACCAACAATCTGCATACAAATAAGCCAGATCTATATAACAGATGTGCACAAAACAAAACAAAAAAATCAGGATCTGGATCAAGGCCAAATTCCAGAAGTTAATCAACAGCCATAATTTTTTGAAGGGTTGAATGCTGGATAAGGAATCGACATCATAGAACTCAGGACACCCCCATAAGCGCTCAGTCCCCATCTTCAGCAGCAAATGAAGAGTTCCAATTCCAATGGCACCAGTAACTGTCTGAATGTATATCCGTCTCGCCCTGAGTTATGAACGTCGGCCAGAACCTCTGGTAACTCCTCGCAGCGCCATTCTCCTCTGACCGTAATGATCTATTTGCGCTTCTGCACTGTTCCCTCACTCCCAAAAGGCCCTCACTACGTCTAGCTTGTCATACATCAGTTCACCACCAAGTGATACAGAACTAGCCAGTCTATCTGCCTGCTCATTTCCCAACACACCGGCAGAGAATATCCAAAGGATACTAACTACCCAGGACAACTAAAGAAAGTGATGCCAACATTTATCAGCAGAGTACATGATGATGATGATAAGCTCTATCATGAAAACTGCTAAAATTGTAGACTAATTTAAATTTAAACCAAAATTTTTTTTTTCATTAATATTAAACTATTCTAACAGATTAACCCTGTCGCCTCGGTAATGCTGAAGAGATGGGTCAGGATCCCGTTGGAATTCCTAACAAATCCTTTAAAAAAAAGTTTATGCTAAAAGTTTTCACTAAAAAATAAAATAAAAATATACTTATCTTCATTGGGGGGGGGGGGGGGGGGGGGGGGGGGGGGGGGGGGGGGGGGTGGGGGGGGGGGGGGGGGGGGGGGGGGGGGGGGGGGGGGGGGGGGAATTCTGGGTGAGACACAGCCTGTTTATTTGTCAACAGCAATATTTTATTCCATAATTTCGTTTCATGGTTTAGATAAACATTTGTCAGATATAAATATAAATAAAGACATACAAAGCAAGCTACCAATAAATATATTCCTGTCAAAATGGACGCTAGGCAGGGTCACTGTTTTGAGCCCATGCAAATTCTTTGCTTCTGTGAGACTTTTTTGCTCCAATTGTAGACTGAAAGAATATAGTTTCGTCGCCAAGCTTCTTAGCTAAGTGCATGGCATGAGCTGCGGATTTCATTTGGAATGTTTTTTTACTGTGACCAACGTGGTGGTGTGAATTGTAGATTTAGAAAATGGCGCAATGCCTATTGTCGCAGTATTGGTGGTGCTATTATGTGATTAAAATTTATCACGTGTGCAACTGCTGATCTGTTGGTGACTTCTGCTACCATCCATGATAAACTCTTTTCTAACGTCGGACTGTTTGTGTTAGCACTTCAGATGGCTACCGTATGCTTTTAATGCGTGTGTATGCTAATACATATGCTGAGACATCAGTCTGTCAATCTTTCCACAAGAGACTGTGATAAACATTCTGTGTGATTTTCGTTGACACAGGAGCAGAGCAACTATGGGGTGACCAGTCTGCTATGAAGCTGAAACTAAGATTACCAGATATTTTTATCTATCTATCTATATTTATATATATATATATATATATATATATATATATATATATATATATATATATATATATATATATATATATATATATATATATATATATATATATATATATTTAAAAAAAAATTAATTAGCAGCTTCTGTAAAACGTTTTTAAAGGATTTTGTTTCTGGGAATTCCCTAGGGTTTATGACCCAATTTTTTATCATTTAGGGGGCAAAAAGGTTAATGCATATAATGGCATTATTGAGGTCAAGTGTCTGTAGTTATTATTTCTAATTCTGTCTATTGCCTTCTAATTTCTATGTCTTTCTGTCTCATCAACAGCACAATACCAGCATTTTCTTTCATTTTCATATACACATACCAGAAATCAATTATTTTTAGCTGTGAATTGGAAAAACACTAAATATCCATCCACCGAATAAGTTTGCACCTTAAAATAAAAGTACTTCAATCTAAATAAAAAAATAAAATAATAATAATAAAAAAATTTTTAACTTCACAACTGCAGCCTGAAATATTGACACCCAGTGACGGAAAGGGCCATTATCTGGATGTGAATCCAAGAGGAACAAATTCCTGGCACCCCGTTCAACTACATAAGTTAACATTGGGGCACCAGATGGTTACAAAATAATCTGCTGTCCTACGTGGGTGGGATGTACTGTTCCATTCAATCTACATTCGTCTAATCTTTTTCCTTCAACTGACAAACTATATAATTATAATTCCTGCAATATATAATTTTATGGGAAAAAAAGAAGGCAAAGTCCACAGGAACATGTTCTTCATCTAGCACAAATTTATAAATATTCGGAAAACTCCCATTTCATCTGTCCCTGGTGAGCCAGCTGAGAATCTTCCACATGAAGTATCCCAGAATAAGGGGATACATAACCAGTTCTCTAGTTGCTCTCTTCTGGTTGTCTTCTTCTATGACTTGGACTCGCCTTGTCAATTTTGCCACCTATGAGGATCACAGACAAATGGAAAAATGGAAACAATTGGAAACATTAACTCTTTTAGTAATATGCTAATGCAAATAGTTGTTATGTTAGCTTATTATATCCGAAGGATCTGCTTTACAGATTCTGTGTTATTATCTGAACTACTTTGGACTCAAACACAGGGTACTTTATACTACAAAGTGTCCCATAAGTTTCTATGTGTGTTTTCAAAACAATGGTCAATTTCTCTAGGTATGGAAACTTATGGCAGACCCTGTATAGCTTTTCAGGATAGATGGAAATATAGTAATCACAGGATGTTACCCTGGGGTTAATGGAAACGAGAGATTTGGCAACATCTGATAGCATGATGTTCTTTGTGGTTACGTTGCTCCTGCATCAATTATTAAGCATGTTCTCAGTAACATTCGGTTTCTGTATTGCGAGTCCACATTTGTCTTGGCTTCTGCTTGGTCTCCCAAGAACCTTACATTACTACCCCTCCTCAACAACTGCGACATTTCTTCTTTTTCTGTTGAAAAGGCAGTTGTGGTGTACAGCTAGGCTGCAATATCTACACCTTTTGGTTCACATTAGCTTATTTCAGAAAACTCCTAAATAGTCGCCTTTAATGAAAGGCTGGTTGGGGTCTATCCACCCCCTATCCCCTTTTTCTTTTATCGAGGCTTAAAGTGAATATTCAAAACAATGCAGTGAATTTAAATAATTTTGATACAAACAAAGAGAATATACTATACAATAGTTCATGAAGAGAAGTAGATTACTGATGACTGATTTGAGAATCAACATCAGTGCATACTGATTCAAGAATCAACATCAGTGCATACTGAATACTGAATCAGTGCCTAATGGTTACTGATTTAAGAATCAACATCAGTGCATACTAATGATTAATTTAGGAATCAACATCATTGCATACCGATGATTGATTTGAGAATCAACATCAGTGCATACTGATGATTGATTTAAGAATCAACATCAGTGCATACTGATGACTGATTTAAGAATCAACATCAGTGCATACTGATGACTGATTTAAGAATCAACATCAGTGCATACTGATGACTGATTTAAGAATCAACATCAGTGCATACTGATGACTGATTTAAGAATCAACATCAGTGCATACTGATGACTGATTTAAGAATCAACATCAGTGCAAACTGATGACTGATTTAAGAATCAACATCAGTGCAGACTGATGATTGATTGAAGAATCAACAACAGTGCTTGCATACTGGGTATACCATAGATGCTCTGTCTTCTGTGGGAAATATCCATGGTGTAGATGCAGACAATAATTATACACATGTTGTATTTTTCCTTTGTAAGACTTTTCTATTTTTGAACCTCCAAACTCATGTTGCCATACACATGTTGTTTTGAGTTCAGTTTAGCTTTAAGAACCAACATCATAGCACTCAGGACAATGTCATACGTGCCCTGTGCCCACCCTCAGCAGCCAGCAAAGAGCTCCAACTTCGAAGGTCCAAATCACAGTAAGCTCGTTGGTGCATCTTGCCTTTCCTCTTATTGTGGAGTGTCGGCCAGATCCCCTAGTCACTCCCCACTCTTTTCAGGCCCTGATAATCTAAGTGCGCCTCTGCACTGTTCCCTCCCTCCCAAAATGCCTTGACAACATCTAGATTATCATGCAAAAATTTACCACCAATTGGCAAAGAACCAGTAAGTCTTTATGCTGCATCATCTAACATAGTATCTTCTGTCAGTTTTTGTTCATATATAATCTTCAGAACGTATGCTTTATTCATTATGAGTGTTCTAGTGCTGTCGTTTGTGTAATTTAAAGTGTGCCTGCTCATGGTCTTGAATTCCTGCATGTCCTGGACACTCCCTCTAATTCTGAAAATCTAATATGGCCAAAAGTAACAGCAACATTTAATATGGCCAATCGTAACAGAGAAATAGTATACAAAAAGTGCATTACATATCTTCCAGTCTCATTACCTGAGTTCGAAGAAGTGTTGTCTCGTTTTCTTCATTCAGCAGAACTGAATCATGCAGATTCACACCTGGATCATATGGAACTGGGCCATTTCTGGAAGTGACAGTAAAAGTAGGATTATAATTCTAGCTATTGCAACTAAAGCATACAACACAACACTAACAGGACTTGGTTGAAGCTGGAAAGTCGTGAAAAAAAAAAAAACTTTTTCCCACACCTTTAGGCACATAGTGCTAGAACTATATTTTATAGATCAATCAACAGGTGGTGTGGTCAATATCATGCCGGCCGCCTTTACATCCCAGGACTTCATCTGGTACTCACTCAAGGCTGGGTCAACCTGGGGGACAAGGTCATTAAAAAAAAAAGGTCTGGCTCTGTTCGGACTTGAACAGACAACATTAGGATCTGCAGATGAGCATTCAGCTGCTACACCCCGGTGGAAAGGAGCAATGCTAATTCTTAATCAGCTTTTTATCCCCCACTGGAGCACAGGCTCCAACTAACCAACCTCCACCAACACAACCTTTGCCAGCTCTGTTCATGTCTCCCCCATATCCCTAACCTTTCAGTTCTAGTTCATGTTTTTTTACATTTCGTCTAGCTGGCAAAAACCGCACATTTCAAACAGCACTGATATTTAAATACAATGAAAAGAGAACAACAAGTAGACTCCCATATGTTTTGAATTAGAAGAAAAAACAGAGGCAAAAGATACAAGTTTGGAATATTCCTCCACCAATTACGACCAATCAAGAAGTAATGTTCAGTCCCATCTCCAAAGTGGACTACAGCAGGGCTATTCAAACTGGCAGTCCATGGGCCAGATTTGGCACACGGAGCCTAGCAAGTGGCTCGCGGATCAATGCCAATTGTATTAATATGCTCTCGATCCTAGGGCTGAGGCAGGTTACCTATAATCACAGGGGTGCCCTAGTATAAATGTGTTATACGGTTGTTGTTGTTACCCCCCCCCCCTCCAATTTGATTTAAGAACTGACATCACAGAACGCAGGCATTCCCATAAGTGCTCCGTCCCTATCTTCAGCAGCCAGCAAAGAGTTCCGATACTAATGGTGCCAGTACATGCTCTCCCACAAGGCACTAACCACGTCTGCCTTATCATGAATCAGTGTTCCACCAAGCTGTGCAGAGCCAGCCAGCCAGTCTGTTTATTTTCCAACACACCGGAATACCCCAGTGAAAAAATCCAGACAATACTCCTCACCAGTGTCCTCCACAGTGAAGCATGCTATTCTGCACGAAGCATGCCTGTCCTGATCTTCCTCAGCATGCTTTCTGAGTCAGTTACAATTACGATGTGTGTGAATGTGTGTGTGTGTGTGTGTGTTGTGTTTTCTAACAAGCGGAAAGCTGCAGTGACTGCCTCCACCTCCATTTTTAAGCTCAATGTTGTGGAACCATATGCTAGGCTCTCCTTCCCCAAACGTCGACCATTAACTTTTGCTAAGAAGCCCCAAGCACTTCTTTTGCCTCTGGACACTGAACCGTCTGTGTAAATGATCAAATCCTCTGAAGGAGCATTATCTTGAATTAATTGCTTAATTTTCATTTCTGTGGCACCTGCTGGCCAGTTTCTGCATTCCCGGCTTAGTGTGATTATGACCCTACACAAGTCTGACTGTTCAGGTGGCACTTTGACCCACTCCTTTCCTCGCATAATGTTCTCAAGAATGCAAACCTGATTTGTGTCTTCTGCCTGAGCCATCCATGACTTCCCTCTTATCAGTCACTGACCCTTAACTGCACCCAGACTTCGTGCAAAGGGTGGTCTGTGTCTGCAACTACCCTGAGATATGACTCCGCCTGCATCACCTTGTGCCTACCTGCAACAGTCGGCAAACCGAGGATGTATCGCATACACACCACTGGGGTGTCTCTGGTGCAACCTAAATTAACACGCAACAACATTTTTGTCCTAGAGGTCGAAGTTCCTTACCTGGAATTATAGATAAAAAGTCTGAGCGCATCTATCTAAGAGGCAAAGAACAAACCGTCTGCAAACAAGAAGCCAGACCTAGAAAATCGATGGGCATGAAACACTTAACTCCTAGAAAATGATCAAAGTCCAGAAACAGACGGCTGACCAGAATTTTACACCAATCACAGAAAATGCAGAAGAAACAGAAATTAACATGATGAATGAGAAAAAAAAAACACACACTCTCGTCTTTGTGACTTACAAATGACTGTTGTTAATCTTAGCATCTCTGACAGCCATATTGCCTCTCGCTGCCATCATCTTGTGGTCATCTGTCTCCTCAACTACTGGGAATCTCTCCTCCAGAGTTAAGGTTCTTGGCGGGGTAATCATGCCAATGTACGAGGACAAACTCTCAGAGGCTGCAGGAGAATTGCCTGGCAAATCAAGAATCAGGTCCTGCTTCAAAGCAATATGGAGATTATCACCTGTGTTCAGAAATGTTGCAAAAACAATCAGTAACAAAGCGATGTAAGTTTAAAAAAAAAAGTTTTTTTTAAACATGTATCACATGATGCATACATTTTAAACTCTTTTAGTACCAAATGAAACTGATGAACACCAGTTGAAGCAGGCGAGGGATTTTACACAAATGGGAAGCATTTTTCAGAAGATGGAAAAATTAATAAAGAAATCCAACAAATATGCAATAAAGTTTTTGGCTAAATGGCACCAAATTTGAAATGCAAAAAGTGAGTATTAATGATAACAGGACACTGTTCAATACAATATTCTTACGAAAGCTATGCTATCAATCTCAAACATGGACACTGTCTTCAGAAGACAAGGAAACAGTCACGACAGAAATGAAATGCTTACGAACGTACTATGCTAGATGTAACGATCAACTTAAGAATGATGATATTAAGAGAAGCGTCTGCACAAAACCAATACTTAACTTTATAGGTAGATAACAAATAAAATGGTTTGGCCATGTAATAAGATTGGCATTAGGCAGGGCACCACAGAGAGCAATGTTATGCAGATACAGTGGTAACAGAGCCAGAGGTTGACCACTCAGGATATGGACCACACAAATATCAGAGGCACTGAAAAGTACTTAATAAAAAGTGAACAGAAAGGCCCATTCCAGAGATCTTTTCCTGTCCTGACACTGCAGGGCATTCCAGGAGGAGAGAAAAGAAGAAGTACAAAACAATGTGCTTGTGTGACGGGACTTAATCATGTGCACCAATCAAAATGTTATTGTGTTTGTACAGTTTGCTACATGGTTGCTATCACACCAGCCACATTTACTTCCTGGATATTTTCTAGTACCAATTTTAGGCTAGGTTGAGTTGGAAGCCAAGATCATTGAAAACAAGCAAGCTGGAACCCAATGCCTCTGGGTCGGCAGGCAAATGTCTAGCCAATGAGCTACTGGGGCTCCCTTTCTCGAATAAGGGCATCCCTGTGTGGTTCCAGGGCCTTATTGTGGGGGTGGGGGAGGGGGGAGGACAGACCCACTGAATCCTTTCTAGTATATAATAAAGTTGACTAACAGGATGTTTCCTGCGAGGTCAGGGTTCATCTGCCTAAGAGACGAGGAACCAATATTCTGCATACAAAAAAGTCAGATCTTTAAAATAGATATGCACACACAAATCAAGTTCTCGAACAAGACTAAGTCGAGAAGTAGAGGAAAAATCATAACTTTCTGACTTTCGGCCGGAGGCTACAAACAGTGAATATGAGAAAGAAGAAGGATAAGGGAAAAAAAGAAAGAGAAGGACCCATCAATCAATCAGGTGTCGTCTCCACAATGAAGGTTGGCTGCAATGGATCTCCAACAAGCCCTGTCTCTTGCCCTTGATGTACACTCACTCATACTGCTGTTCGTCCATCTCTTAATGTTATCCTCCCACTTGTAACGCTGTCTGCCTCTTGCTCGCCTACCTTGAACCTTTCCCTCTAGGATGATCTTTACAATACTGTTATGTCTTTTAATGTGGCCAAAATATTTCACTTGTCTCTTTTTTTTATTTCACCTAGCAACTCTTTTTTCATTCCCAATTTCCTCAGTACCTCTGTATTTGATAGCTTTTGTTTCCATGAAATATGACCTAATCTTCTGTATATCCACATCTCCAAAGAATTGATGAAGGCCCATAAGTAAGTTAAAAAAAAAAGGTACATAAAAGTAGCCCCTAGCAGTTACCCCAAATGGATGTGAAGTGTTTGGCATATAGGGTGATTACAGGCAAATGGATCAGCTATTTTTTTTTTGTATCCCTCATGACTCAGTCTCTCTTAGAACAGCTGGTCACCCATGAGAGTGTTACACAAAGCACTGACTCCACAGCTCCTGCAACAACCCCACAAAGATATCCAAAACAGCTGCATTTACAAACTGAAGGATGGAGTTAAAAAAACAACCAGTCATCATAGCATGAGGCACATGGCGGCACAATGTTACCAAGGTTTCTGCTAAGGCCTTGACCTATGAGATGGAATGCTAATTCCCTTTTTTGTTAACTCTTCACATCCAGGGATCTTCATGATAAAGTGGTCAAGCCATTTGCTTCATGTGTGGCTGGCTATTCTTATTATGTCTCAATCAACATACCATGTGTGGTTGGCTAACCTTCATATATATCAATAGACAAACCATGTGTAGTTGGCTAACCTTCATATATATCAATCGACAAACCATGTGTGGTTGGCTAACCTTCATATATATCAATCGACAAACCATGTGTAGTTGGCTAACCTTCATATATTTAAATCGACAAACCATGTGTAGTTGGCTAACCTTCATATATATCAATTGACAAACCATGTGTAGCTGGCTAACCTTCATATATTTAAATCGACAAACCATGTGTAGTTGGCTAACCTTCATATATATCAATCGACAAACCATGTGTAGTTGGCTAACCTTCATATATTAAAATCGACAAACCATGTGTAGTTGGCTAACCTTCATATATATCAATCGACAAACCATGTGTAGTTGGCTATTCTTATTATGTCTCAATCAACATACCATGTGTGGTTGGCTAACCTTCATATATATCAATTGACAAACCATGTGTGGTTGTCTAACCTTCATGTGTATTAATCGATATATTATGTGTGGTTGCTTAACCTTCATATGTATAAAAGTAAAAAAAAGGTAATTCATTGCACACGGTTATAAACCATAAGTGCTCTGCCACCAATACGGACAGCTGATAAGAAACTGTTCGCCTGTGTCGCCATCCGCACCCAACTCCGTAGCTACAGCGACGTTCCTCCATTTACTCCAGAGTGTTAACTCTGGTACCCATTTCCTAGAGGCTGGGTGAACCTTGGGAACCACCCGGTTTTGAACACCGGCCGTGGGCTGCAGTGAGTTGCAGCTGGATTTGAAAGCAAGTCTCCTATTGACTGCGCTAACACGGCCCCACCTTTATATGTATCAATCAACATACCATGTGTGGTTGGCTAGCCTTCATATGTATCAATCAACATACCATATGTGGTTGGCTAAACTTCATTCGTATCAATCAATATACCATGTGTGGTTTGTTAAACTTCATACATATCAATCAATATACCATGTGTGGTTGTGTAAACTTCATATATATCAATCAATTTACCATGTTTGGTTGGCTAAACTTAATACGTATCAATCAACACACTATTTGTGTCTGTACTTCTTTCAGTGAAAGGTGCAGATTTGTTAATAAACAATTTAATCAAATAAAAGTAATAAACACAAACAATGTAAACTCCAAAAAATAAAAGCACGCTAAAGAAATGTGCAACTTCCAAACAGAAACTAGAAATGGTTGGACCAACCACCTTCAGTTTCTAGACTGTCCTGATCAAGGGTAAGCCTATATGGCACATTCATATCAGAATATTCTGGGTAAGAGTCATCGTACTGATTTTGACCTGTTGCATGTTTAGTCCAATTTGCGTCTGTCCTTTTATATCTGCCATCAACTGTGCAGCACAGGACAAAAATATTACTGCAGTGATTCAAATGATAATACAGAAAGAATAAAGAGGAAACAAAAGGAATACAGTGGTACCTTCGATTCAAAAGCTCTAACACATAAATAATTTGAAATCCAAATGAAATTTTTCAGCAAATCTTGCCATCGAACTTGACCCCTGCCTTGGAAACCGTATGCTTTGCATGTGCGAACCAAGCGCTACCACAAAGCACCAGCTTCACTATGTTTTTATACGCTGTGCCAAATGCATTGCACCTCTTGCATCTGAAATTTCGTAAGCTTTCTGAGAATTATAAGGATGTATTTTTTCTTCTTGAAATGAAATTTTCAACACTGTGATTATTTTATGATTCTTACAGACCGGAAGGGTTAATGTAAGTGAACTTACACATAACATACACAGACAATAATCTTCCAGTGACATTCATTCATTCATGCGTTCTTATCCTTGGGAATATGCTGCCTAGTGAATCTGATTAGTATTTCCTACGTTCTATCTAAATATAAAGTAAAACATAGACACCCTACATGATCTGAGTATAGAGAAGCATTGGCTCATAAACAGCATCCTGCCCTGAAAGTTGAGGTACTTTGACCATGTTAAATGTCAAGGTGGCCTAGAGAGAGCGGTGATGGAGAGTACTGTCATGCAGACCTCTGCAAAGGTGGATACAAGACAATGAAGTTGCACTGGCTATGAAAGCACCAAAGGCTGGACAATTGGATAGAGAAAGAAAGACCTAGGTGCATACCGTGATGAGAGGAACTTTCTGTAAAAGACCCGCTGACTGATAATGATGATCTAAATATAAATATAATTTGAGATACTAGGTAGTCGCGGGGGCGTTGGTGGCTAGATACCCGTCTGCGGATTGGAAGATCGTGGGTCCGCGTCCTGGCGGAGCCGGATTTAAAAAAAATGACTTTGAGTCCCAGGTTGATCCAGCCTTAAGTGGGTACTAAGTCCAGTCCTGGTAAGTAAAGGCGGCCGGCATGATGCTGACCACATCATCCACCAAGTGCCGGTTGGTCTAAAAAAATATAGGTCTAGCCCTATATTCCCAATAAGCCTAAAGGCGTGAAAAAGGGACCTTTACATACTTTGGAAGACCAGAGATTAACTTGAGGCATGAGGCATTGGCGTTCAGGTTGTCTAGACCAATGTTTTTTCAACCTGTGGTCCTCTGAGTCCTCCTTCATAAATGTTTTAAGAGAATATAATCTCAACACTAGATACTGGCTATCAGGTAATTGCAGGAACTCTTGACAAAATGATCAAGATATGAGAACACGGTGTGAGCTACTAAGCTAGTTAAGAAAACTCTGAACTTGGGAACGAAAGAACAAACTTTATTTTCAAAGGGTTACAAATTGGGCACGCAGGCCCGTCTGACATTCAGCCCTTCTAAGCACTCATTTTCAGAGTACCAATGCCTGTTATCAGGCATCAGATATATGTGGGACATCAAACAAGCAGGTGAAGACATGAGCTACTTACTTACTTTCTCAAAAAGTAGTATGACAAAGTAATGTTGAATGTTTAATTAAGAATCGACATCATAGCACTCATCACTTCAACAGCAAACGAAGCGTTCCGATTCCGACGGTACCAGTAACTGTCTGACTGTACATCCGTTTAGTCTTATCTAGCTTGTCATACAACAATTCACCACCAAATATGACAAAGTAAACATTAATTAAATATATCAAAAATTAATTTGATACTACCTGCTAAAATTATTCTGTCTGGAACTGTCATCCCAACAAATTGTGCATTTGCAGGAAATTCTTGATGTATAAAGCCATTCTGCTTTCCACTGTATTCGGATCCTCCTACAGCAATTCTGGGAAACACAGCCAAGACAATAAATAAATTTTATCGACTGTATCATCTTGAAGCACTTTGCTACTATTATTGTGACAATAAAATATTTTTGTAACAGAATGGTAATACTGTGACTTGCTGGAAACCAGAAACTTCTTATGCATGATTTTAATATAACGCTATGTCATATCTTCCTCTTCTTCTTCGCGTTCACCAGCTGTACACTCTGGTGGAAAGTTCTAGTTGTTCGTCCACTTCTGAACTGCAGTCCTGTTCCAGAACCTGAGTGTTGCATGTGCATCAGTTTTACAGATCTGATTCACTTGAATGCAGACTGTTGGTTCCTTGCCTCTCAGGCAGATGCACTCCGACTTCAAAGGAAGCTCCCAAATTAGTCGACTCTTACGACATGCTTTTGGGTAGGCAGAGGGTCTATTCTTGTTTTACCCCACAATGGGGCCCCGGAACCCACACAGGGAGCTATGTCATATGATATTGCCAGCGTCTGTGACTTTAGCGTTGCGAACTCGCCGAGGTGCCGGATTCAATTTCAGCTGGGAGCCTTGCGCTGGTTTCGACAGTGGTATCGAGAAGACAACCTTCAAGAAAGCAAAGGCAAACTACTGGACGTAAACTTGCCTAGAAAAACCACAACAGCAAAAAATGTTGAGGTTTGTTCTGCAACGTCATGTAAAGGATACACAACTAACTTTAGCATTTAACATGAAACCACTTTTCACAATTTTACTATAAGAACATGTTGACAAATACAGAATTTACAAAATGTCAAATGAAAAAGATTCCATAAAAATATAAACAATGATACGATTGTGAGATTTAAAAAAAAAAGGAAAAAGTAAATAACCTGTGAATACTGATAAAAAGAGTCATCTTATGATCAATTTGGTGGACAGGCAGGCTGTGCTTCTGATAACAGTTAGTTAGCCATTGCATTTTTCTTCATATATATACATAAATTTAAAGATATAGTTCTGTCACAAATTTACTGAACTGAGTGCATGGTGTGACACTATGAACAGCAGATTTCATCTGGAATGCTTTTTGGCCGTGCCCAACTTGGTTTGCATTGAAAATTAGAGGTTCAGCAATGGCAAGGGCCTGCTGCCAGAGAACTGGTGGTGCCTTATGCCATTAACGTGTGTGCAACTACTGATCTGTTGTAACTGCTGCTTCCATCAAGGAGGACCTGCATTTCTAGTAAGTAGTAAAAGTAAAGAACCCTTTTCCAGGTCTTTAGGCGTATAGGGCTAGACATATTTTATAGACCAATAGGCACAAGATGGGTGATTTGGTCAGCATTGTGCCGGCCACCTTTACTTTCCGGGACTGCACCAAGTACCCACTCAAGGCTGAGTCGACCTGGTAGCCAAGGTAATTACTAAAAAAATTCTGGCTCTGCCAGGGAGCAAACCCATGACCTTTCAATCTGCGTCTAGCCGCTCTGCCACGGCAACTCCAGCATTTCTAGTGCCGGACTGCTTTTGTCGGCCCTTCTGATGCCTGTTTTATGCATTTAATCTGTATGCATGCTACTGGCTTTGTTGAAAATGTGGTGTGGGTCATTTATTTCCCAAAGGACACTGATAGACATGTTTTATTTTTTGCTAGTACAGGAATGGCAAAACTATGTGATAACCCATTTGCTATGAAGCTCGAAAGTGGAAAGGCAACTACCTGATTCCCTGGAAACAAAAAATAATATATTAATGCAAGTCTGTATTACATTCAGCCCTTCCCCTGTATTTTATTAATAAATTTTACCAAGTTAAAAAAAAAAAAAACATAAATGCATTTATTTATATATTATTAATTTATTAATAAAATACAGGTGAAGGGCTGAATGTAATACAGACTTGCATGCCAAATTCGTGACCCCTTGACAAAAAATTCTTTCCATTTGTATTTGTGGGGTGGTTAATATATTATTTTTTGCATACATCAGGACAGTTCAACAAAGTTTATTCATGGGCCACAAGCTGTGAAAATGGGGATCATCATGGATCAGAGCCTGAGCCCCAGCTTAGAAAGATCATTGATACAATACAACTGGCAGTGAACTGCGGGCCACTTATTAGTTGAACAGCCTGGCATCCATGCATGCACACACATACTTACACATGCAAACTTACACACAGACTCATTAATACCCATATATACACTCTTATACATACCCATACATATGCTCTCATACATGCATAAACTGAAAACTAAACCCAGCCAGCCTTCGCTGGTCAAGTGAGAGAAGACAGATCATCAACATCATCAGCCTTGCTGAATGTGATCCTGTTTCCCTACATCCTGTTATCTCCCAAACAATGCAGCTTCTTCTTCTTCTTCCATTCACTTGAAATAGATGACCTAAATCTACAATGTTGTAAATTAATCTTTTAGGTTATCACATCCTTTTTTAGTTTTTATATTGTAGCCCTTGGGTGGCATTAGCATAGTCGATAGGAGACTGAATCGCTTTCAAATCCAGCTGCGACTCGCTGCAGCACACAGCCGGTGTTTGAAACCAGGCGGTTTCCGGGGTTCACCCAGCCTCTAGGTAATGGGTACCAAAGTTAACACTCTGTGGTAAATAGAGGAACGTCACTGTAGCTACGGAGTTGCGTGCGGACAGTGACACAGGTGGACAGTTTTTTCTTAGCTATCCGTACTGGTGGCAGAGCACTTATGGTTTATAACCGTGTGCAATGATGCTGGTTCACATTTCCCGACTTTTTTTTTATATTGTTGCAAAAAATTGATGATTGATTCATTCAGATGGTATGGGAGAGATACAGACTGTAAATGGGACATAGCTACCTGTCAGGTACTTGCATTCTACTGCTGATCTGTGAGATGAACTCCGGATCATATGTCTTTGAGTGTATGTCAAGATAATCCGATGGCTGGGTGTGGTCAGGAAGTTTTATATGACCTTCCTAAACAATATATATTAGGAATAAATATGAAAGTGTACCTCCACATACAAACATTCATAAACACACAGAACAGTATGGAAATATACTGGTTCCTTAACCCAATGGTCTCCAACCTTTTTCGGGTGGTGCCCCCCTCTTGAGTCAAGGTAATGGCAAGACCTCAACGCCCCCTTCCTGGCTCCTCTTGTGTATATGACAAGACCTTTATGCCTCCTCACTCCCCTCTCTTGAGTATATGACAAGACCTCCACACCCCCTCCCTCCCCCCTCTTGAGTACATGACAAGACCTCCATGCTCCCCCCTTCCCTCTCTTGAGTATATGGCAAGACCTCCATGCTCCCCCTTCCCCTCTCTTGAGTATATGGCAAGACCTCCATGCCTCCCCACTCCCCTCTCTTGAGTATATAGAAAGACCTCCGCACCCCCTCCCTCCCGTGACCTGTGTATATGAAAAGACCTTTCTGCCCCCCCCCCCCCCCCCCCGGTCCTGTGTATATGGCAAGACCTCCACACCCCTCTTTCCCCCATCTTGTGTATATGGCAAGATCCTCCATGCCCCCCTCCCTTCATCCCCCACAATAAAATTTGATCAAAAAGAAGAGGAGTGTGTTCCTAATCTATAACCAACTCTGGTAAAATAATAATTAGATTTAGAATGGTAAACATACAAGCTGCTCATAAAAACAAAAACATCCTTGGATTTTAGTTTTATAAAGTTTTAAAAATATCTTTTTTATAACTAAACTGGGGAAAAAAGTATAAACTAGACGGCCCCTGGAATATCTCCGGATTTCCATTTTATAGGTCCCACATGCTTCACCAGACCATTGTCTTGACATTGACCCTGCTGCCACGAGATACAAAGATAAGTGATTTTGTGTAGTATTGTCTATTCTATGTATGTGCTGAAGAAGGTTCCATAGCCGCAACGTTAACATTTTGTTTGTGTTTGTTATATGGTGAAGCTCGCTGATAAACTTTTTTGTTCAGTTTTATACCTTTCCTTAGTATAACTAAAGGACTATTTCAAGTACAAATGAACTCATTTTCAAAAACTGCTTGACGCGGCCTTTGGAACTTTCTCATGCCCCCAGAGGGGAAGCGCCTCCCAGATTGCAGACCACTGCCTTAACCTAGGTCATCTTCTTCGGCTGTTTATGTTTCTAAACGAGTATAGTTTAGACCCTCACAATTACAGATGTGAGTCATGCACTCTTAATCACTGAAGAAAAAAAAAATCACAGCTTTTGAACTGAAATGCTAAAGAAAAATTCTTAGAATATTATGGACCAAGAAAATGAAAAACACCATCTTACATGATCTATGACAGCACATAGAGCTTGAGAACTGGCTAGAGAAAGGAAGACTTTCAGGGGTGCCGTGACAAGAGCGACATTCTGTAAAGGACCTGCTGATTGATGATAACAGACTCTCAAGCAAGACCTAGGTAATGTGAGGAAAGGACCTTTCTGAACACCCTGATGTGTACTGGATATAAGATGCTGGCTTCTTGTTGTGTATAAGTCAAAAAGCACTCAATGGATAATATGGTGAATTCTCTGATATTAAAAGTAGGTTCAGTACTAACAAAGCTTCCTTTTTTCTGGCAGTATGCAGTAGTTTTTTTTTAGACACTATGATAACTGCGTACCACTACATACTACCAGAAAAAAACAAAAGCTCTGGTACTAACTAACCTGGCAGAACAGGTAAAAATATCTGGGCCTTCAGGAGATTTGACACTTGATCGCCAGATTGGTAAGTAATCATGGTAACTATAGCACTGCCAGAGATCTGCTACTATCTAGGCTCAAGGCACTGTGCGCTAGCTGCTGAAGATGAGGATGGAGCATGCATGGGAATGCTCAGAGTGCTGTGATGTCAATTTTTGACTCAACTCAAGGCACGGTGTACACCAGGGTTATTCAACTAGCTTTCCTCTGGGGCCAAAATTCTCCTAATGGGGATAGTCAGTGGCCAGAGGCCTAAGCGCCAGCATATAGTGAAGTCAAGATCCCTTTTCCACACCTTTAGGTGTAGAGGGCCTATAGGGCTAGACCTATATTTTTATAAACCAATCGGCACAAGATGGGTGATATTGTCAGCAGCACGCCAGCCAACTTTACTTCCAGGGACTGCACCCAGTACCCACTCAAGGCGGGGTCAAACTGGGAGTCAATGTCATTTTTGAAAAAAAGTCAGGCTCCGCCAGGGATCGAACCTACGACCTTTCGATCTGCTCGCGAGCGTCTAGCCGCTACGCCATGGCGACTCTCAAGCCCCAGCATATCAAAATTATTAAAACAAAACAGCTGAGAATAATTAATGGACCACATGCCTGGCTTCTGCGGGCCAGAAATGGCTTGCTGGCCGCCAGTTGAATAGCCCTGGTGTATACCAAAGCAGCTGATAGACTAGTTGTTTTTTCCCCTTCCCTTTTCTTCCATGCTGCCCCCTGAATGTCTGATGCCCCAGCGACTTAAAATTCAGAAGCAAGGATGTCAACCATCATCGATTTCTACTTTTGCCATAAAGTGTAATACTGAGGAACAGCTGCAGCCCAATATTTAATAAGTGCCAAGGCTACTGTTGTACTTCTGTGTGGATGTTGAATATCTTTAACTCTACCAGACCTCTGTGCTGTTTTTTCGGTAATTTCCTAATCTGCCGCTAAACCCAATTTTTGGTACTCTGTGTAATACGTGAAAAAAATGTGCCACAAACTAAAAATAACCAAGCAATCATGGTCAAACCTCATGATTAGTCATTGCAATTGGCTGCCTCCATGTGTTTGGGTTGACTTTGTGTAGTTTAACATGAAAAAAATTAATAAAATTCACAATGAAATGACTGATAAACCAGGTACTTCAACAGGAAAGCGAAGTAGCTCTAGGCTTTTCACAGTCCAACAGGTGATTGATATTTTGGTTGATTCAATCTCTGAGGAGTCAGAATTTCAACAAGAATATGTTTCCGGTTAAAGTGACACACACTGTAAGAGCCCGAGTGTTGAGAATCTTGAACCTCATAGATCTAGAGCTAGATCAATAGTAAGAGAAAAGGGGGTGTGTCCCTCAAACAGCTGATGGGGGAGATCTAGGTGGTGATGAAGGTTGGACAAGGAATTTTGTAAACTAAATACAGATCTGAATTTCAATGATGAAAGGTAAACCTATTTTCTACAGTTTCCAAGTTTCATCTTATTCTAACCACTTGTTTGCATGTAACTAATATTTTTGTATATCATATTGGTTTTTTCGTTTCAATGCCAAGGAGCCCAGGTATAGGGGACAATTAGGTTTAGGACCTCAGGTCTGGTAGAGTTAATGTTCATCAGCTATCATCAATCCAGATTTTCCTTGAATGTCCTCATGCTTTCACACAAGATCTTTCTAGGTTTATATAGCATGTCAAAAGTACATGACTATATAATGGTATCCCAGAAACAAGTACTGTCATAGTTCACCCTGCTATCCTGGATGCGTACTGGAACTCTGTGTACCTTGTGTTATTACTTAGGTCCATGCAGAGCTTTTCGTTCTCTAGAAACAAGGTGTCGGTACTCACCACAGTGCCTAAAACTAAAACGTGCCGGTACTCACCACATTGTTACAGAGGTGTTGGTACTCATCAGTTTCTAAAAACAAATAGATGCTAGCAGTCATTACAGTGTCTTTTACAACAGCAGAGAAATTAAACTATGCCTAGAAAAAGGTGTCGGTACTGCGTACCGCCAGAAAAAAAAAAACCTGGGTCCATATGATGGTCCTGGCTGTAGAGGCCTCAATGACAAAAAATAGTTTGAAGAAATATTAATATTATTCCCCTAATAATTAACCCCAACAAAGAAATTATTCATCACAGAAAATAAACTCGTACTTCTTGATTTCCGTTCATGTTTGCTGTCAATTATATTCCCTCGACCATCAAAAAGCAGGGATAAACAAGCGTAGCTGTGTCTGCTAGCAGTGATCTTGAAATAACGAATCCTCTTCCGTCATTCGTCCGCTGCCATATTGTTCACAGACAAGGGTGACAACTCTGATTTACATTTAGCAATGCCGTCTCCACAGTGGATGTAGACTTTTACGACATGCTTGTCACAGTTCATTATGTCTTCTAAAAAATAATGGGCCCCGGGCCCACACGGAGACCAGAAGATATTTAGAAATTATTTAACATGGGTAATCAATAAATGAATGGTCATCTGAAAATCTGAGTTATTCTATATTTATTCAACTGATCGACATGACGTACGGGTAGTCACCCATAAGACTAAGTGCTCCGTTCTTCTTCTAACTCAAGTCTACCTCTGAAGAAGCTCAGCGCAGTGCACGGTCTCTGTAACACCAGTGGGGATCCTGAAATACTTATGGGTAGATTTTTAAACAAAAATTTTGCCTAAGCAACGCCATTGGCATTAGACTACTCTTTTTTCGATGTCAAACTGCCAAGGTATTTTTTACGTTCGCAACAATACACAGGGGCATCTGGTCTTACTACCCAGAGACCATTACTAGAAGTCCACGTGAAAAATCCCAGCCTTCACAGGAATTTGAAACGGGGACCTCCAGCACGCGAGGCGGATGACATACCTCGAGACCACTCAGCTACCTGGAGTTAATGTAGTATCAGCCATATAGCTAAATGTATTATCAGTCAACTATTTTTCATCAAACAAAACATTCACGGGAATGCCATGAACCTGAAACTGTCATACTCCCCCCCCCCCTTTTTTTTCCCCCTGGAATCATTAATATTTTAGTCTGGGCGCTAACTAAGAAGACTGAAAAGAAGAAAAATGCACGAATTCTCTATAAAAAAAAAAAAAAAAGCGTAGGTTTCCAAAGGACATGTACACATTTCGGCCTGCTTTCATTTTTCCATACGTGTTTGTGGTAACCACGGCCTTCTCTATTTGGCCAGTGTTCAGGAAGCAGAAGACAATTCACAAAAAATGAACACGGACCGTACAACTGCAAATGTGCAGAAGAAGTAGATGAACAACCAGAAGTTTTTGCCAGAGTTTACAGCCAGTGTTCGCGAAGCAGAAGATATTCACAAAAATGAACACAAATGGTTGAGGATTAATATTATTAGTGTACTTCTACAACATATAATTATACTGTTAGTAAACATTTAGTAAAGAGGCAAAGAGTGACTTGCTGTGAGAGGTTAGTGAGTAAATTAAATATTGTTTTTATCCACTTACCAAGAGCTCTGAAATATCTTGACACTATTTATCCACAGTGTAGTTGCACTATTTATGCACAGTCAATATGAAAGCAATATCGTGTATATCGTGTGATCTACGAATAATAAAGAATATGTGTTGGCAGCAAACAGCAGCAAAAGAATTAACAACTGTTTAGGTACATTTCAAAGCATAAAGAGGGGCTTAAGACAAGGATGATTACTGTCACCTGATTTGTTTTCAATATACAGTGAGTATATAATGAGATCTTTAATTGATATGCCCGAAATTGTGGTTGGTGGGCACAATATAAACAATTAACGTTATGCTGATGACACAGTATTGATAGCAACAAGTCAGAAAGAAGTAGAGGAAATGATAGACATTGTGGTGTTAGAAAGTGGAAGAATGGGCCTCAGTCTGAATAATGGGAAGACAGAAGTAATGGTGGTATCAAAGAAACCAATTATTCCTAAATGTGTAATAAAAGTCGATGGTGTTATTTTAGGACAAGTACAGAAATTTAAGTATCTGGGCACATGGATAACATCAGATGGAAGATGCATAACTGACATAAGAAACAGAATAAGACAGACAAAAACTGCATTTTTTTAAAGTTAAAAACATCTTGTGCAATATATCCTTGTCACTGAGAGTTAGAAAAAGATTTCTTGCATGCTACATACATCTAGTTTTAACATATGGCTGTGAATCCTGGACAATCGGTAGGCAGGCCAAACAATTTCTAGAGGCCTCGGAGATGTGGTTTTACAGAAGAATGCTTAGAATATCTTGGACGGCCAAAAAGAGCAACCAAGAGGTTTTGAAAGAGGCGGGAGCCCGAAGACAACTTATCACAGACATCAAAAGGAGACAGTCATCATTTTTCGGCCATGTTATAAGAAGAGGGAAAATAGAACATGTTGTGACCACTGGAAGGATCTGTCGAAGGAGGGATAGAGGAAAACAACGAGAGAAGATGCTTGACAGTCTTGTTGCATGGCATGGAGGTGTGTCTGCACACGAACTGATAAATGCTGCAAGAGATAGCAGATTATGGAGAGGCATGATCGCCCACGCCAGTCGGCAAGACACCTGATGATGATGATCGTGTATATCCACTTCACTATATCTGCTTGTCGATTTGTAAAATAAATACATTCAGAACATAGAACTTTGTAAGCACATTAAAATGTCACACTATGCAACATATGGAAAGGGCTTCCAGTAACCAGTTTCCGAGGGACTCCTTTCAAAAAGTGACGTTATTTAGCTGTTAGGCCTTATTAGAGAAGGCGTTGGTGGTAACTTAGTGGTAGTGGGTAGGGAGGGGGAGTGTGATAAAAAGGGAAATATTGGAGGCAAGAGGCAGACATTGATTCACTGTGAGAGAAGGATTAACATAAGTCTTAGAAAATTTCAATCAGAGCGAAAGACAGAGCATGTTGAAGATCCTTTGCTGCCATCCTTCACAGTTAAGACGGCTCCTGGTTGATTCGGAAAACATGTGTATTTATAACAGAGCTTTCAATATATAATAAATACTCACTTAATTTATGTCTGAAGTGGGGGTGATATTGTTGAAAATGTTGTTTCGTTTAAATGTTTGACAAACAAAATAGAAAATTATTGATATGGTATATGATGAGAGATGCTATATTAGAGATGGTGTACGAGAGATTGTATATGAGAGATGGTATATGTGAGGTGGTACATGAGAAATGGTATATGAGAGATGGTATATGAGAGATGTTATATAAGAGGTTTCATATGAGAAATGGTATATGAGAGATGCTATATTAGAGGTGGTTTATGAGAGATGGTATATGAGAGATGATATATAAAAGATGGTATATGAGAGATGGTATATGAGAGATGGTATATGAGAGATGGTATATGAGAGATGGTATATGAGAGATGGTATATGAGAGATGGTATGTGAGAGATGGTATGTGAGAGATGGTATATGAGAGATGGTATACGAGATATGGTATACGATATATGGTATATGAGAGATGCTATAGTAGAGGTGGTATATGAGAGATGGTATATGAATGATGGTATATGAGAGATAGTATATGAGTGATGGTACATGAGAGGTACTATATGAAAGAATTCATGTGTGCTCCATGGTGCCAGTTTTGGGTTAAACCCCCTAATTCCAACCGTAGACTCATCGCAATTTAGCGTAGATAGTGGAAAAGGGTGACTTAGTAAGCATTTGCTGAAATCGGATATAATGGGCCGAAAGGCGCAGATGTCAAAGCCTATCTGTGAATCTCAAAACATAACGTGCCTACCTGCCTATTTAAGAGCAACAAGAGAAACAGCAGCAGCAGAAGAAGAAGAAGGAGAAAATGAAGAAGAAGAAGAAGAAGAAGAAGAAGAAGAAGAAGAAGAAGAAGAAGAAGAAGAAGAAGAAGAAGAAGAAGAAGAAGAAGAAGAAGAAGAAGAAGAAGAAGAAGAAGAAGAAGAAGAAGAAGAAGAAGAAGAAGAAGAAGAAGAAGAAGAAGAAGAAGAAGAAGAAGAAGAAGAAGAAGAAGAAGAAGAAGAAGAAGAAGAAGAAGAAGAAGAAGAAGAAGAAGAAGAAGAAGAAGAAGAAGAAGAAGAAGAAGAAGAAGAAGAAGAAAAATAAAAAGAAATTAGAAATATGACACACAAGAAGACGCTTTAACGTCCGGGTGTGAAGCAGACGGGACGTAGGAAATGAAATTTCTAGGCAAAAAAAGAAAGTCACACATTTAGTAAATAAAAAAATTAATTAAAAAAATTAAAGGAAATTATAAAATGAACGACATAAACAAAGAAATTTAACGGAAATAACCGAAAGGAAATATGTTAGAAACATGTGAAGGATCCGGTAGAATTAAGGATCACATTTGTTGGGGCCAGATACATAATTCTTTTCCCATCATATGAGGTTTTACAATAAGGTTAACAGGTTGTGTCAATTTTATCAAGTTTCCTGTGACACAGGTCATCAAATTCTCTTTTGATTATATTTACCCTGTTTTGTTAATTCTCTTCCCGTTTTCCCCTATATTATTACAGTACATTATAATATTACCAAAAAGTTTGTTGAGTTACGCTGAGTCAAGAAATGACATTACAGAACTCGGGGCATGCCTGCTCCGTTCTGATCTCCAATAGCAAGCACAGAGTTCCAATACTAATGATACCAGTCGTAATCTAGTTATATGTCCGTCTTGTCTTTCTTCTGAGTCTAGGGAACCGGCCAGACCCTCAGGTAATACCAAGGTGCCTCATTCTCTCCAGGCCATAATAATCTTGTTTCGCTTCTGACTCCGTTGCTTGTTTCCCAAAGGGTCCTGACCACATCTGCCTTGTCATGTATCAATTCACCACCTAGTGGTGCAGATCCAGCCAGTATGTCTGCCTGTTCATTCCCCACCAGGCCGACATTGCCTGAAGAAAATATCCAAAGTATGCTCACTACCCTTACCTTCACAATGAAGTTTGCCAGTCTGCTCGAAGCATCCCTGCCTTTACCTTTCTCAGCTTACTTTCAGAGTATTTTTTTTTAAACAATTATGACATGTGTATGCATCTTGTTCTCTAGCCACCGGAAAGCGGCAGTTATCGCCACCACCTCCATTCTCGTGCTTGATGGCGTGGTATGGTGTGCTAGGCTGTCCTGCGCTAAAAATTTTCCATTGGCTTTCGCTACGAACTCCTGTGCACT